TATATAACATTATCATAAAAATCACACACACAAAAATTATGTAAATGTTTTTCTCATTGACTTATCTAAAATATGTCTTATATATTTCTAGGCTATAAATACATTAAATATTTTTGAGTCATACATTGAAAACAATTGACATTTATAAGTTTACTGCTTTTAATCGCTGTATCACATGCCATTTTATACGGTCACATTTTTATTCTTTTAGTCTTTATATAAATAGTTGTAATAAATAAGACCATATACAAGATTGTATCATAACTTTCATAGATTTAGTTTGAATCCTTCTGAAGGCATAGAAAATATCAGTTAATGTGAGAATATTTCGCTGGCTATTTATCAAAGTGGAAAATGATTTTTGCTGTGGGATTCTGGGTAATATACAAGCAGCACCAGTTCAGAATGACATATATATATACAGTATATATATATGTATCAAGTATGACTGTACCTTGTTTTAAAACACATTCCACTAACCAACACACTTCACTGGCATTCTTTAGGCTGTGTTTTATACTGGTGCTTCTTCTTGTCTCTGTTACTAATATTTATCTTGGCGACGGTGAGGACAGTCTGACTTTATAGGGTGAGTGTTGAATGTGTATTAGTGCTTGACTTCTGCAGTTGTCGCATAAATGGATCCAGTGTTGTGTTGGTTGTCTTCCCAGAGCACTAGTAGATTTAGAAGGCTGTGCTGTGAATTTTAAGCGTGCTGTCAAATGCTATCTCGACCACATTCCCGATCCCACATTCAGGGCTTTTAACTGGTAAGTTGGCAGACTTTGTACCCTTTCTGAGTTGCGAGCTTTCACATTTAATTTCTCAATAGTGTCTGCACTGATGCTCTGACCGCCACACAAATATATTATGGACAGTAAACTGGATTTGAGAAATGGAGCAGAGTATTTGCTTCCCAAAGTGCAATTTAGCTCGACCTTATAACCTTACACGTGTAATATGTCGAACTTGTGCACATCCATTAGTGATATGGATGATGTTGTAGTAGGTATCACATAGTGTGGTGTGTGCACATGGTGCGTGTTTCACCTGTATTATTTTTTATTCAAAATATAAATTGAAATGTACTTTATTCTCTCCAGAGGATGTTGCCAACATATAAACAAGTGTAATAAATAATATGACGGAATAAATCATTGTATCACAATTAAAAATAAAATAAAATCTAATCATATAAATGTTATATTGTCATACAGACCCATCCAAATATATATATATATATATATATATATATTTCACTGTTATGTATTCATATTGTTTTAGACTGTGTTATTATACCTTATTATTTAGCATTTTGCAACAATGTCTTGTAGTGATCTTGCAGTGATTATGCACTGAAACATTGTAGGAAGTCACTGGTTATACAAATCATAATGTTTATGCATATTTTTTTTAGGGGTGAATTTTAGAAGGTTGCAAAAGGTCATCACTGTTATAATTAAATATATAATTGCATATGCTTTGACTTTGTAGGTTTAGACTTTCTTGAGGAACTTTACCAGCTACAGTAGGAGGCTGAAATTGATGTTTTCAACTGGGTATGAATAATACGGTATGAAAATGCACATTTACAACAAAGTAGCACCACACCTCTATAAAAGCTTTCCCTGTTCATTTCAGAGCAGCCCTCGTATAAATGTTCTTATCACTCTGCTATGATACATTTTAGAGTGTGAGCTGCTGTTATATGTCGTTTTTAAGCCATAGTTATTGAAAAATGGGTGTTACTTAATTGCTTTAAAAAGTAGTTTGCTTTGCAGCGGGTCTCAGAGAGATATATAAACATAACTGTATACTCAGTCATATTTATAGGTTTGATTTCAGTTGCATTCAGGTACATTTAGAGCACATTTTTAGCATCTTACAGTATTTTGGCCTCCATTGTGGAGTGAAGTATTGCGGTAAAGTGCAGAGACCTGCAGGAAAGCTTTTTCCCCATCTTCTTCAATCATTCATAGAAAGACTCCAGAAGTATGACGCAACGGCTCTCACTGTAATTCCAGCCTCTCCAACAATAATTAATGTCTCTGTGTGTGGAGCAAGTAATTTAGTGTTGTGTTTTTGTTGTTTCTTTTATAAAGAAGGAAATAACCTCATTGCATAAAAGTCTTGTGGATTGAACTGATATATTTGAATCTGTGGAACATGTAAGAAGAAATTCTGAAGTAAGTTGCAGCCTGTCAAGCTAGTCAAAAAGGACCAAACGTGCATTTGTGCATTTAGGTTGAATATATATATTACATTTGAGATATATTTTCAATGAATAAAGACATAAATGTTGTTCTTATTTTCCCACAGAGCAATCAAATGAGTTCAAATGACTTGAACTTCAGTGAGTCCTTTTTTTGAACTTAGATAAGCATTTCTACCTGAAATGTTCTACCGGTAAGACAGAACGTCATACTGGTTTGGGATGACATGATGGTGAATATTTGATTAAACGTGCATTTGTGCATTTAGTTTGAATATATATATTACATTTGAGATATATTTTCAGCAAATCAAATGAGTTCAAATGACTTGAACTTCAGTGAGTCCTTTTTTTGAACTTAGATAAGCTTTTCTACCTGAAATGTTCTACCGGTAAGACAGAACGTCATACTGGTTTGGGATGACATGATGGTGAATATTTGATGACAGAGTTTCATTTTTGGGTGAACTATTTGTCCAACAAACTTTGAGAATCTGTCACCGTGACTGTAAACACAGTGAAATTGGGTAATTAGACTTAGAAAAATTTACAAAGCAAGCCCAATTAATATAAAATTGTCATTCATTAACATGACAGCGTGTTGAAGGCAGTAATACAGTGCAGTGAACGCATGAGCAGTCTGTTTCCTTTAGTTACTGCAAACTTTTGACCGTTTCAGAGACGTCCCATGAGACTGACAAGAAGGGGAAACTTGAGGAATTGGAAATTAAAATCTACTCGTCAAAATACAAACAACCCTGATGTCCTGTTCATTTTCTTTTCTTTTCTTTTTCACCTTTCTTCTGGGTTTCGACCTCATTGCTTTCATAACACAGAGGATCTTTGTAAAATCAGTGAATTATTGATGTTTTTGTACTGATCTGCTCTTGTACTCCATGCACTACTGCTCTTCTGTTCTCGATGTGTCCCTACATGAAGCAAAATTTCATCAGTTAGTCTGTAAAAATCTCATTCTGATGAGGCACAATGTGCAACTAAATATCTAAATTAAAATAAATTACAGCATATTTTGCAGTTATTTGTTACTCTTAATAAGACCGCATGCAACTAGATGCACAATAACACTAACACAGCTTTGTTCTCTTTATTTTTAAACTAACCTCTTGCATTGTTGACCTGTTTTGCTCCCAGGATTCCTTTGAAGACTCCAGCTGTAACACATCCATTGATTTGAGCATCCAGGAATCAATTCCGCCATCATCTTGGCTTACTTCACTCTATTCCAGTGTGCTGGAGTTCCTCTTATGTGAGACTGCCTGTTTTTTCCAACCTGTATATCGAAATTGCAATATTTCCACAGAATCAATCGTTACGCCCTGGAAACACCTTTAGTTCAATCCTCATAACAGATGCTATCACTGGGAATTACAGTAGCAACTGTTCCTTTGCTCAAGTAGGCTTTGCAGGCGGCCAAGAGAGTGTTTCATTTTAAAGTAAGGCTTGATCGAAAGGATTGACATGCCAACAGAGTCTATAAATGTATCATGGAGGTGATGTATGTAATTTTTGTGCCACTAGTGGCTACAAATGGAATTGCACATCCCATCAATCTGTCCCTAACGTGACACTTCGCTGAGAAATTTAATGCCTGCTCTATAATTGAAACCAGACAATGTTTACGTGCATGTGTGTACAGTATGCTATTAAATGGTTAATTCCACAGGGTAAACAGATATAAATATTAATACCAATGTAAATCCCTCTATTTTAGGTGGAGCACAACAAGCCATTGGAGACCCCAGTCACATGTGTGTTGCATCCGCAAGACAGGAATGGAAAGTGCAGTTGTTATAAATGCTACATGAATGAGTGTCAGGCTGCTGAATTCAGCCTTTGTCCTCATGAATAATACAGTATGTAGACTAAAGAACAGTTTGTGAATGTAAACTAGTGGTTGTCCGATATGGGTTTTCAATGGATTATGCCGATACTGATATCTAGAGATCAAGATGGCTGATGGCTGATTATATACTACCAACGAAAGGTTTGGAAACAACTACTCATTCGTTAATATTAATATTTCCACATAAAAATGCCCCTGAAGTTTTAAGATTGTTTTAACGGGATTTTTTCAGGTCTAAAAATAATACTTTAAAAACTAGGTTACCTCATATATACAGTTTTTCCAAGATTGTGGGAACCCTGTTGCAGAGTGATTTAAGATCTTGATTTTTAGTTATGTTAGCTATTTTTTGAATTATTTTCATTCATCTTGAGGCCACTTTGATGTTTATTGAGGCCCCCTAGTGAGCCCAGGCCTCATGGTTGAGAACCACTGTTTTATTGTGCTCAAAAGATGAAACATAAATTCAGTCAAGTGTGTCTTTTGACTGATAATCTACTGTATATAACACAATTTTATGATACCAAACAAGACATACACAATGTTGCGGAAATGAAATCCGACAATGTTTATTACATTATACTATTTTATATATGTAAAATGTAATGGCACATGTTTTCTGTGTAGTGCAAAGTGTGAATGACTTTAGCGTGCGAGAGCTCTCATAAACAGACTGTGAAGCTTGTTTATTTTAACAGTCTCTGACGTAAAACAAGCTGGTGAAAGTAGCTACTGTATCCCATGTTGCTTTCAGATGTCATCTAAGGATTTGTTGTGTTGTTTCATGACAGGTGGATGAAGGTGGACTCCATACATGGAGTCCAGGTAGCTGTGGTCTCCATTTGAAAATCTTCTCAGCCTCTTGTGAGATTGAGTAGCCACTTGAAGCGTGAAGAAAGGAAAGAAAAATAAAGGCAAGAGTCTTGAAATTGCAAAAAAAAGGAGGGAGAAGGCCTTCAAACGAAAGAATGGACGCAGTAGAGGAGAAATAGTCTTCTTGCTAACTTCAGAAAAGCCTAATCACAGACTAATAAAAATTTGAAACGGCACAGCACAGCAACAAATCAGTATTCTCCGGCAGAGCCTGCAAGAAATGGCCAAGAGGGTTAACCCTTTAAATGGCTGAACTGATTCTTTGAACAGCCACATTCTGCAAACAAAAGACCTGAGCTGATGAATTTTAATGGGTCATTTCAGAATCCTTTTTGATATATGGAGATCCTGAGATTCAAATGGCTTTGACACTTTGACAGCCCCACGTTTTTGTAGCAGATAATGAAAACATTTGCCTACTTCAATTTACCTCACAGGATTCCTTCCTAGTGTATTAAATGTGCAGACAAACCGAGGAACTAGTCTGAGATCCTCAGCTCGGATGATTAGGTTGGAAAGACTCTTTCTGGTCCAAAAAGGTTCAGAAAAGCTTCTCAGGACTGACCGGCATTCCCCCCCACTGGTGTATTTGATTCGTTAACAACGTTTAGCCACCAAATTAAACATGGCTGCTGGAGTGGCAACATGGCTACCGTTTGCCAGGGCAGCGGCCGTTGGCTGGCTTCCTCTGGCCAAGAAAATCATGCCCAAACCGCCTGTAGACAAAAAAAGCCGCAACGACGAGATCCTGTTCGTAAACGTGAGCGGGCTCCGCTTCCAGACATGGAAAAACACGCTGGACCGCTATCCTGACACTCTGCTGGGCAGCTCGGAAAAGGAGTTTTTCTACAACGAGGACACTCAGGAGTATTTCTTCGACAGGGACCCGGAGATGTTTCGGCACATTTTGAACTTCTACCGCACTGGCAAGCTTCACTACCCGAGGCAGGAGTGCATTCAGGCCTTCGACGAGGAGCTGGCGTTTTACGGCATCGTGCCGGACATTATCGGCGACTGCTGCATGGAAGAGTACAGGGATCGCAAGAAAGAGAACCAGGAACGTTTGGCCGAGGACACGGAGGCCGAGATGGCGACGGACACCCCTTTGCCACCACACAGCACACATCGGGAACGTTTGTGGCGAGCCTTTGAAAACCCCCACACGAGCACCATGGCTCTCGTTTTCTACTATGTCACAGGTTTCTTCATTGCCGTCTCGGTTATAGCAAACGTGGTGGAAACTGTCCCCTGCCGACCCCTCAAAGGCAGCAAGAAAGACTTGCCATGCGGCGAGAAGTACTCGCTGGCGTTTTTCTGCATGGACACGGCCTGCGTCCTCATCTTCACATTCGAATACCTCATGAGGCTTTTCGCCGCGCCCAGCCGCTGCAAGTTCATGCGCTCGGTCATGAGTGTAATAGACGTCGTTGCCATCATGCCCTACTACATCGGCCTGGTCATGCCTGAGAACGAGGACGTGAGCGGCGCGTTCGTCACGCTGAGGGTGTTCCGCGTCTTCCGGATCTTCAAGTTCTCGCGTCACTCTCAGGGCCTGCGAATTCTGGGTTATACTCTGAAGAGCTGTGCTTCCGAGTTGGGTTTCCTCCTGTTTTCCCTCACCATGGCCATCATCATATTTGCCACCGTCATGTTCTACGCCGAGAAAGGCACCAAGGGAACCAACTTCACCAGCATCCCAGCCTCCTTCTGGTACACCATAGTCACCATGACAACACTTGGGTAAGTCCATTCCCTTTTTATCTGCAGCTCGTGGTCATAGACTGTATAAAAACATGGACGTAGTGTCCGAGCGGCCAGTCGATGAATTGCAGTTTTAATCACTTCCGTGTTGGTTTCACGAGAGAGACCGGAAGGTTGCCACTTGCTCGTGATGTTTTGAATATGCGACAGATTGGTCTTCTCTATGCAGAGAGGTTTTCTACGACTGTCATTTGTTTGGACTGCAGTGAAACAGGTTCCATGGTAGTATTTAAAAAGCTAAGGAAGGAGTAGAAAGGTCCATTAAGAACTTTCTGGAAAATTCCCATGTGATCCAAACCACTTAGTGCTTCATTGCTCATTTATGATGCTGACAGTGTGCTTATATATAAGTTCAAACGAAACTTTTGCAGTGAAGAATGAACAGGGTTATGTCTTAAAGTTATAGCAATTTTTTTTAAGATTGATTAAATCGAACATTGATTTGCTTACCAGCATTCAGGTTTAGTATTGCAGCAGTTTTTTTTTTATTAAGGTGTCTTGTCTCACCAAAAGCCTTATTATTATTTTATATTTTAAGCAAAATGTTATATATATATATATAATATTATTATGATTAATTCTAATTAGCAAATAAATAAAACAAATAATTAATATTTATTTCTATTTATAATTATTTCTATTATTTTTATGTATAAAATAACAATAATGGTTCTTGAAACAGGGTGAGTTGTTTTCTTCTCGCTTCCATTTAGGTAAGACCTACCTGCCTATATGTTAAAAAATGCTAATTTTCAAGGTTAGTGAAACTTAAATCACCCCTGGCTACAAAACCAGTATACGTACCTTTGAGTCCTCCAGTTATGTCATGAAACTTCTCTTACAGTTCTCTGTAGTGAGTCATTTGCTCATAAACTGAGCTGTGAATGAGTTATGTGCTGCCTGTTTCTACACAATAGTATTCAGCCACATCTCTGGCCATTGGTTTGCTGTCAGGCTTTAGGGAAGCAGTCCAGTTTTCTCTTGTTCACTGATACAGTTTAATCCCTCAGAGTGATGGATGAAGAGTGGAACGCTGTATCACTGCGGTCCAGAGCAGAGGATGAGGAGGATACATGAAGCATAGTCGTTTTATGTATATGTGTGTGTGTTTCTCCAACTTTTTCCTGAAGCGTTTGGTTGTTTTGCAAAATATCTCAATATGGTTTCTTTTTTTCCATGTTGTTGTTGGGTAGAAAACACCCACACAGATGCAATGAGAATAATTCAGATGTTGCACAGTATTGTGATGCAGATTATAGCACATGTAGGCTGTGTTCCCAATGTCATAATATCATACCATACTACTATTTTTTCAGTATGTTGTAAGTATACTGCACAAAGAATGCCAGTTTTCTGTATGCATGGAACACCTGAATGAGCTCGAACATTTGGCAAAAAGCGCAGTATATACCCATAGCAAACAGTGAAATACCATATCCCACAATGCAATGCACTCGATTTGACCTTCCATTTCAAGTGTTACGAATAAACTGACAGCAATATCTATTCATTTGATTTGTTTTCAAACAGATTTCTCTGAACACTAATGCCATTGGTTGAGCCAATGAGGATAGAGCGAAACAATCTGGTTCAGGAAGTAAAATCTCCATTAATTTGGTTATCTATCTATCTATCTATCTATCTATAATGACTGAAATCAATCAAAATAATTGTATATGTAATTTGCAGTTATTTATTTTCTTAATTTGAAATTTTGGCTTCAAATCAAAGTTTGTAATGTTACGAGTCACTCCTTTGGTTTGATTAATGACTTTTTATTCTTTATTAAAGAGTTTTTCAAAATCCCTGTGGAGAAAGTGTAATGGAAAACCAAAGTTGCTAAAAAAGTTGTTAGTCACAGTTGCACTTTGTATCATAGTGACTTGGGGGTTGTGCCCCAAACTCATATTTGTAATGTGTATTGTTGCATACTGCATATGGTTTCACATACTATTTTTAGTTGCAGCCAGTATACGTTGATGTACAGCATTGTTGTGTTTGTATTTGCTGCAACCGCATTTCTGTTGCTCTTGGGTAGGGGGCGAATGATGATGGTCTGTAACAATAGTGGACAGGTTTAGCTATCACATTCACATTAGTGTTAACTGACAGTCTTCCCGTGCAAATGTAGGAAAGAGCACCATATCACTCAGAATATCTGAGTTTATCGTGCAAAGGTCAGGAGCTGCGTATTAACACTCCCAAGCAATACATCATCCTGCTTACACATGATCATCGCACACACATGTATATTACCCGCTATCAGGTTTCAGCAGTTTTTCATCAAATGACATGCGCACTCCATACATGAATCTTTCTGCACAGATGTTGATCATAGGAAGATGGTGATAACCGTATCTGAGCAGAGTTGTTGCTATCTAGAAGTCTACATATTTTATGTAAAATTGTGTACATATTGAACTGTGTCTATAATATGATCACTTCCACCTGTTATAGAAAGCTAAATATATAATCTGCATTATATTATTAGATTTGCCCACTTCATGAAGAGCAGCTCCCAAACAGATGGTTCTCATTAACGTTAGAGGTTCAGACGTTTGATCTATTATGGTTTCAATCTATTTATATATATGCAGTGATGCAGGCTATTACATCTTGAAGCCATCTATAATGTGCTTATTAGTAGTAATCTAGTAGTAGTTGCTATTGCACATAGTTAGAGCTGATTTGAACAAAGTATTTAACCTTTGTCACACATCTTTCATGTGTGATGGTTTAAATTGTGTGGTTTGTTGAAGTATGGTGTATTGAAGCTAAGTGATTCAATTTTATGATATTCCCCCTGGCGAATGATAATATAGGTGAAAACGTCCTGTAGATCTCTTAGTAGTTTTGTTTAGGCAAGTGCCACTCACTAGTTTAGATGTACAGCAGGGGTGTCCAAACTGGGTCCTGGAGGGCCGGTGTCCTGCAGAGTTTAGCTCCAACTTGACTCTACACACCTGCCTGGAGGTTTCTAGTAACCTTGATTAGCGGCTTCATGTGTGTTTAATGGGGTTGGAGCTAAACTTTGCAGGACAGTGGCCCTCCAGGAGCAGGATTGGGCACCCCTGATGTACATGGATCATGGATGCATTTAAACTGATTGACGTTAAAGGTGCAGTAAGCAATTTTTGAGAAATGCTGTTGATATTTTAAATAGCTCAAATAATAGCTTGAAATAGCTTTATAGCTCCAACCCCAAATTCACAAACATGCTATGCAACACAGGTACATCCCCCATCATGAGTTTTGCTTGAGGATTTTTTTCTTCGTAAAAGTAATTTTTTTTAACATTTCAATTGCATTTCTTTGTTAAACTAACAAAACAAACAAACAAAAGAATTATATTAATTATTTTTCACCATCATGTTGTTCTAAAACCTGTTTGATTTTGTCAAATCACTGTAGCCGGCATGTTTGAATATGTAGAATTGCAAATGAGATTTGAGAGCGAATAGTGATGTAAAGCAAGTTTGTGTCTGGAGAATAAGTCTGTGACGCCATCCAGCAACTTTAAAACCTAATCAGGCATTTCACCCTCAAACTAATTACTTTTACATAGACCCGGCTATGTGACCATTCTATAGTCTCCAAAGAAAATCAAATCTGGAAGCAGTCATGTTGGAACAGCATAAGTAATGTTCAAACTCAGTACTTTCTGTTTGCATTTATATGTTAATATGAAAAACAGAGGGACAAGAAGTATGGCATTATAAACCCTATAATCATATTTTCCAAATATAATTATGCACTTCTGTGGTTTGGAAATCCCGGGCAATGAAAAGGCAAATAACTTCAGCGTGCATGTTAATGAATGTCTGAATTGAATAAATGAATATATTTGTGGGTGTTCCTGAAGGTGCAGCACAGAGATCACCTGATGCATTAATGTTTTATTCTGGGTTAGGTTGACTGGCCTTGTTCCCTCTGGAGATAGCTGGATAAACGCTCAACTTTAGCCTTACTGTGCAGAAAGAAATGCATGTGTGCAGATCAAAGGAGCGAGCAAAGACTCTTTAGAGACTTTCAGTGAGTGCAAGATTCGATTGGTCAGTCTGTGGCGGCAGCCGAGTGGAATTCACATTACCAGGACTTAATATCCAACTTTACGCTTCCTCTCCTTTGACCTTGACAGGGCAGCGTTTGAAGCAGGAGCTGCTGAATTAAGATGTCTGCTTTGTTCCATTTGGATACTGTGTTAAATATTTGATGCACCCTCTAAGTTATTATTTAATACAACCTGGGAGAAAGCAGGATACAGCAGCACAGTGTAAGAAATTACAGAAACTGCTCGTAACGAGGTGATCTTGGCAGAAGCAGTTGACTGAATGCTTTGAGTTTGTAAAAATATGCAGAAAATAAGAAGAAATTTAATTTGATCGCCAACAGAATGCAGAATTGAAATTTGAATTTGATAAAAATTTGGGAAGTAGAATTAAAATGAATTTAAATTCAAAGAAATTAATAAAACTGTTGAGACAAATTAATTGAATGTTATACCTACGTCATCCACTGGAATGCCACTCTCTCGAGAACACATGTACAACAGTTAGCGGAAGTGAAATGAAGTGAAGTGACATATGGTGATCCATACACGGAATTTGTGCTCTGCATTTAACCCATCCAAGTACAAGCACACAGTAGTGAACACACACCTGGAGCAGTGGCCAGCCATATTGCTGTGGCGCCCGGGGAGCAGTTGGGGGTTCGGTGTCTTGTTCAAGGGTCTCACCTCAGTCGTGGTATTGAGGGTGGAAGATAGCGCTGGTTATTCACTCCCCCCAACTACAATCCCTGCCAGACCTGAGACTCGAACCCACAACCTTCGGGTTACAAGTCCGACTCTCTAACCATTAGGCCACAACTGCTCAACGCGCTGCAAATGGAAAAAAAAAAGAACACATGCAAATAGAAAAAACACCTGCAAAATTAAGTAAACATCTTCATAAATTTGACAACACACGTGCTGCAAATGC